CATATAGCGACTTATGAGCTAACTTAAGTATATTTAGTTTAACGTTCTTATTCACTGGAAGCCAGTTCAACTCTACAACGTCCTCCATTCCTGCGAACCTTCTTGTGACAAAACCTGCGCATGCATTTTGTTTCCTTTGGAGGCGCTTCATCTGAAATGCTGGAAGAGAGTGGAAAACAGAGCATGCGCAATTTACTTTTGAGAGGACTAAGCTCTCCGCCAGGTGTTTCCTCACATGAAAGGGGGCTAGATTTTTGAGCCTGCGCAGTACTGACAGTGTCCCGTACGATGAACTTAACACGTGGTCTACATGCGTCTTCCAGGTCAGGTACTGGTCCACGTGTACACTCAATAGCTCTGTATAGGAGATCCGTTTTAGTGGAGTATCGCCACAGGCGATAGGAAGTTTTAGTTCTTCTAAACTGTGATATCGCGCCATCTGTGGGGTGGAGATAAGCATCCAGTTTGTCTTAGAAAAATTCAAGGCCAGGTTGCAACTCTTAGAGTAGTCCCTCAGGCTTGTAACTGCTTTATTTATGTGATCTGCTGAAGAATCGAGATCACTTGGTTTCGAATGGATATAAAACTTTGTATCGTCAGCATACTGATAAGTCACATTGTAGCTCACTCTGGAGGTCGGCGACGTAGAAGTTAGAAATAACCGGACCTAGAATTGAGCCCTGAGGAACAACGAATTCCACAGTTGCCATATCTGACTTCCTGTCATCAATTTGTACCAGCTGTTTCCTATGAGTTAGATAGTCAATCATCCATAGTAAGAAGTATTTTGAGAACCCCAAGCTGTGCATCTTAGAAACCAGCGACCTAAATTGGACGGTATCAAAGGCATTGCTATAGTCTGCGCAGACCATCAGTGTTACCTCCCCTCTGCTTGATGCCCGAATTAGAGCGTCGCGGATCCCCAGTAGAACAGTAGTTGTTGAATGACCTTTCCGGAATCCTGATACTGTAAAACCGAGAAACGCCATCCTCGTTGATGTAAGCAATGAGCTGCTTAAGCACCAAGCGCTCGAACACTTTAGATAGTGTCGGTAGAATCGAGACCGGACGGTAATCAGCGTCAGACAAGGGTTCATCAACTTTAGGAATAGGGGAGATTCGTGCTATCTTCCAGAGTTTGCGAAAACTCGATTTTGCAATACAACGGTTGATTATATGTGTCAAAGGATCCGATATATGTTCCTTGGCCAGTTTTACAAATTTCACCGAAATTTGATCTATGTCAGTTGATGTATCGGAGCGAAGTTTATCGATCTCTTTTTTCACTTCCATCAGGGAGACACAGCGCAGGTTAAGAGGATGCGAGGTCCGAGGACGCTCCGAAAAACAGTTCACAAGGTCTATTAGATCTGATCTTTTATCCGGTTTGGTACCCAGTGTTCTCTAATTTGTACTTAAGAAGAACGTTTTAAGTCTATCCGGGTCCGCTTGGAGAGGTTTAGGACTAGGGTGGAGGATGTGGTGTATTACTCTCCAAACTTCCTTTGGTCGCTTGGATGAGAGAGCATTAAGAACAAATACCCGTTTAGACTTATTGCGTACAGCTCTAAAAGTAACCCAGGAGTCATCATCACTATTCTCCTTATGAGCCTCATGACGCAATTTATCTCGCTCCGCTTGTAGCTTGCGTAGCTTATCCGAGTTCATCCACGGTGCGGGTGGGCGTGTCACTTTAATCCTTTTAAGGGGTGCGTGTCTATCAATGCACCCACCAAATAGCGCATTAAACCCCAGTACCATATCGTCTGGTGAATCTAAGCCATATACAACTGACAGAGGCAGGTTAACACCGTCCTTAACAAATTCTTCCGTATTCGGTTCTTTCTCCAGTCTAATCCATTTGTACCGCGGCTGATAGCGAGGCACGCGCACATTATTGCACGCAAATATACCCTCATGATCACTAATTGACTACCCAGGTATTACATCCGTGGCAGTAACACAGCGGCGATTATTTGTTACAATGCGATCAACTAATGTCTTAGATGTTCGTGTGATACGAGTTGGCTTGGTCACGTGTTGGTGGCATCCAGAAGTATCAAGTATACACTGATATTGCATTGTATAGCTATCCGAGGGTTTTAACATATCGATGTTTGTATCGCCAGTTGACAAGAGCAATCCGTCCCAGGAAACAGTAAGATAACCCAACAATGCCTCAAAAGCGTCCAGCCAATCCGATGGGCTCAATCCAATGCGCTCCGATCTGTAGATGACTCCGAACAGAGCCTTGCTATATTTATTACGTCCTGGAACTTCGATCCATAAGTGTTCTATCTCCGGTTGAAGTCGCTCAATATCCTTTTTCCGTTTAAACTGGATAGAATCGCAGATGTAAGTTCCGACGCTGCCACCTCGAGTACCTTCGCGGTTTCGAAAGAGAGCTGTGTAACCAGGCAGTGTAACGTAATCAAGAAGGGTAGGGTTATTCAGGAGCCAGGTTTCACTCATTGTGATAATATTCATCGGAAGCTGCGAGACGAGGACTTGAAACTCGTTGATGGAAGAGACCATACTCTGGGTTTTAAATTGCATCCTGCTGAGGTCCTTAGAATGTTCTTTTAGAGTTTCAGTGATTTGCAGGCTGGTGGTATTTAGGGCGGAGTCATCCAACTCTTCAAGCGTATCAGGATATTGATAGTTGAAAAACGGTAGAACAGAAAGCAAACACTGGCACTTGGGACATATCCATGTAGAGACGATACATTTCGCACTCAATTTGGTGCATTTTATATGTTGCTGTCACACG